AAATTAGGCAATAAATGATAGATTATCTTTGAATAGAGCAAGCAAGTCAAATTAACTGCAGGCTAAATTAGACAAAGGAGATCCATAATGTTATGCTCTAAAGAGGAGAAGCACTCAGCTGTGGATTTCACCTTCAGACTCTCAGACTTCAGACATGTGTTATTTCTCCCAAACTTACAGTTAGAGCAGTAAGCGATTTAAGGGGCGATGCCTCAAAATGCATGCCCTTTGCTAACCCCCTCTTCATTATTCAGGAGCACCGAGAGAGTGCAGGGGCAGAGGATTTGTTGGAATATGTTAGTTTATTGCCTGACTCATTGATCCTCCATCTGGGATTTGTGCAAGTTAGAATCTATGGCCCCGACCTGAGCTGTGAAAGATCAGTCTAACTGTGCAGTGTATTGATAAATCCATGGCGTTGCCCGTGGTGCTGAACTAGCAGACATATTTGTAATTGTGAGTTTGTCTCTGAGGCCCGTCTTGGATCTATAATATTCTCTAAACCATGGAGATGAACCATCAATACAGAACCAGACAAGATCGTGGGGCTCCGAATGAAAAGAGCCAGGATGGTCCTCTCTGTTAAAAAATGAACAAATAGCATACTGATAAGGGGGACTTCAGTTTGCATGATATCAAGATCCATTTTCAACATCACAAATGGACTGTGGACACATCAGTGTTTATTGGAAGAATCTGAAGGGCTCACAGGCCATCAAAAGGTTGCTGCCTTAAATACAGAAAAACCTATAAGTACAGGCAGAGCTAAGGAACAGCTTTAATTATATTTATGTAAGCAACATTTTAGTTAAACTAATATTGTTGGTTTTATGTCATACACAATAAGACCTATATAATTTAACATGTACGCTACTGTAACTACACGCAAAATGCTACCCTATATTGCTTCGATAAAATTATACAAATTTAAACACAAATTCTCGAACACCTGCATAGGCTACAGATTTTCCGGTACCACTTTACAATAAGACTAGTAAAGAATAGTTTGTAATTCATTTATTAATTAGGTTGTGAACACTTTATAAATCATTAATAAGCTTTTATAAAACATGAGATAAACAGAGCAACTGTGACCGGTTGCTTGCCAAATAGTGAGCCCACATTTATCTGTACCGCTCATAGACTGTATATATAAAGGTACCGCTAAGGAAGCCTTATTATATTGGCTACTTAGCTTACTTCATCTTCTTCATCAGCCAGCATCCTTGGTATCCAACACAGTCTCACGGCATTTCGTGTTATAGTCACGAAATTAATCTATTGATTCGTGTTCACCAACACGATTTCGTCATTTTTTTCGTGTCACACAGAACGATTTTAAAAGCAATGTAAATAATAACAAATTAGAAGGAAAAAGACATTAAAAAAAATACAGATTTAAGTATTCTGACACAGAACGATTTTAGAAGCAATGTATTTATATTGGTAGTATGTTTCGTGCCTGCACCAAATAATAACAAATTAGAAGGAAAAAAAGATGACATAAAATACAGATTTCAGTATTCTGAGGCTCTGAGCCATTTCTTTTCCTCACTGACGGCAAAAAAACTCAGACATTATACAATTTAAAATAAAAGGGATAGGGTTAGGCTTAGGGTAAGATATTGAGTAAGAACATGTTTTTATGAACCACACAGCTTCTGGTCTTCCAAGACCCGACCGGACAAAAAGACGTGTTGCAGGCACGAAACATACTACCAATAGAAATACATTGCATTTAAAATCGTGTTGGTGAACACGAATCAATAGATTAAATTAATTTCTGTTGTTCACTGAGTTGATTCTCGCTAAGTAGCCAATATGAGGCTTAGTCATCTTGCCAAATAGTGAGCCTGTGTTGATGTATGAAAACTATGTTAGAACTGGTTTATAAATGGTTCTTAATGATTAATAAAGGGTAGTCTTATTGTAAAGTGGTACCGATTTTCCTAATAATTTATTTTCAAAGTGCATGTTCTTAAGGAAAACACAATTTTGACACATGAGGACTTATCATTGAATGAGCATTTAAATGTCTTGTCTGACATATGGGACATTTAAAACTGTGCTGCTGGTGCTTAAGAAGTTTAAGCAGAATAAGTATAACTATATTCAGGCAAAGAACACACCTTCTTAGACAGTCTTAATCTGTACTTTGCAATCTTGAATAGTCAAGTGTTTTATGTGCTTTAAATTGACCTTATAAATAAGTCAGTCAGTTTTTAAATAGGAGGTAAACTGTGTTCAAATGCTCTTTATTTTAAGGTATTGTATGTGTGCATCCCATTTTTCTGATAGACAAAGAGGACGACGTTCATAAACATTATTCGTGTAGCTCGTGAGGCACAAAGTCAGTGAAATAACATTAAAGCGCCCATGTCATGCTTTTCCGGTTATTACCCGTCCCCTTGTGTGTTATGAAGGTTTTTATGCATGTAAACGGTGTGCAGAGTCAAAACCCTCAAAGTACACCCTGTAGCGAGTAAAACTCTAACACAGAAAATACCTCCCCAAAACGCCTCGTTGGAGATACGTCACTGCCCATTTGAGTCTTCCATTTAGTTCCGGGTACGCCATGATGTCATGCGGTACCCGGAACGAAATGGACCAATCCCGAAGAGCTATGGCCACACCCAGCGGCGCTGGCCGCACCCTCTGCCAGCCTAACATTTACTGTTGGAAGCTCTGGTTCAGTTCACAATCGATCCAGTCATGCCACTGCCAAGGACCTGTTTCCTGAAATGTGAGGAGAAATCTGAGCTGTTTGTCCTACCGACGGAAGAACCACGACGAAGTCAGTGGTTGAAATGTCTTTTTAACACTGTTCCTTCAGAGGTTCGAAGAACCGGCATTTCACAGACGAAAGCTTCCAAAACATTGCCCAGTTTGAAGCCGGATATGCACAGCTTGTTTGGACCGTTTGGAGCAGGGGAAGATTCGGGTACACAACCTGTAAGTTTGCATTGTTATTTGTGTATTTATCAAACAAGACTGTTTAAATGTGTAAACTGTGTTGGACTGCTAAGCCATTGACACAGTGCTAACTGTGCTAACTAAGTTGCTAGCGTTTCCATATATCAACTCTAATATCAGCAGATGGCCTTGCATACATGTATCTCATAGCAGGAGAATGTCTGCATTCACACACAAAATACCTATTGACAGTATACTTGCCGTGCGGTCAGTCGCGAAACGTAATTACATTATAGCTGGCGTAGCGTATATGCTACCGATCTAACCGACGGAGCTAGACCTTAGTTTGGTCGGAAAAACATTTTTGTTATGCTACGTTGCTAGCGTTTAAATATATCAACTACAATGTCAGCAAATGGCCTTACATGTTTGTCATGGCAGGAGAATGTCTGCAGTCACACACACGGAATACTCATACAGTATACTCCGGGTGATTTACCGTACATTGTGACAGTACATGTACATACTGCATGTATAGCTAACGAGGCTAGCTGTATGCTAGCGCAAAACAATGTATTCATGCAAGTTACAATGTGTGACCGAACGTAGCAGAATACCCGTATACGATTGCAATTATAAACACGTTAGTGCTAGCCTAATATGAACCACTAGCTTTTGTTCATAGTAGTTTTATTACACTACATTATAGTTGCCGTTCCTCCGAGCTAGCGTTCATATCGTGTTAGCTACCAAAGTAAACAATAAAGCTAGGTTAGCATATTAGCTGGCAAGCTGTTCATTAGATAGATCCACACTCCTACCACAACTACTACTAACGAATCTAAAACAACTAAGTTTCTCTAATATTTTGTGATTTGCATTTGATTTCGTCCAGCCAGATCCTGGCGGACAATACATGACGGGGACGGGACTACTACTACTGAGGCGTCGTCCTAAAAGGCACCGGCTGCGCCCAGGCAAGATGCGGGGAGGAATGGATGATATACCGTGTGTATATATGTATATTTATGTTCATTTTGTACATTTCTAAAAATAAAGTTTAATGGAAATACTTAGTAGGCCTATCCTTTCTTCCCTGAATTATTTGCTCCTATAACATATCATTCATATATAGCAAACCATGATTTGATTTCTCATCAAACAGTAGTAGTTTATTACAGGTAAAAATAACTTACTCTTTGTTATGACCGGCTCGTAGGCCACAACGGAAAGACAAGGAGACATACACGAGTTTACAAAACCACGGCACATTTATTGTGGTAAATGCAGAGATAGGTGGTCGAGGGGAGAGAATCGCCGAGCCGCTGGGCCGCTGGGCTTAATAGCACCTCGGCTACGGAGGTGTCCGTGATCGCGCTGATTAGCCTCTTCAGCTCCACCCCACCGTAAGACCTGCAACACACCTGCACAAAGGCCCTGGGGCCGTCACACTCTTCTATAACAACAGTTGTAGGTATAGTTCGGTTAGTTAGCGTATAAAATATACGGCTGTACCGACGCCATTATAACACTGATGTTCCCCGAAAAAAGCGGGCGGAGCCTCTCTGGTGGTTGACTAATCATAACAGAGTGGCCGAGCTGACCAATCGGAGCACACTAGGCTCACAGGGAGGGGGGGGGCAAGAGCTCCAACGAGTCGTTTAGTGGAGAGAGTGAATACTGCTGAATACACATGCTTGACAGAGATGCTGTATGCGAAACCAATGTGAGTTTGGAAAATTGCATAGTATAAATCTATTTTAGTATACCTCAACAATGTAATTATGATCAGTGGAAATGGCCATGACATGGGCCCTTTAACACTCAGCTGGAAGCCTCGCGAGGACACCAGCAGGTCCCCAGACCTCACTTTGAACACCTAGCATTTCAAATAGCAGATACAAACACGCTCCTCTTGCAGTATATAACAGTTTGACCTCCAGTAAGTCGTGTCCCCGCTCAGAGAACTTCCAGATAGCAAGTTTTGACATTATTAAAAGTGCGCAAACCGGTACAGGCGACATGGCCTTTGGGGCTTTTTTCCCTCAGTTCAGGCTGGAGGTGCCACCGGACAACACCGGAGCAGCGTCGCCTTCCGGTATGGACACCTGTAATGTGGGAAGTTATTCCTGTAGTGACAGAAGACCACACAGGTAAGGTTTGTTTACACCCGTGGGGTTGATGTGACAAAGTGTGAATACGAAATGCGATTATTGTGGGTTAAAAGGATTAAAGGTTGGAGTCTAGGGGGACATTCATTTAAAAATAAACCACAATATTCCCCTTGGAGAGTATTTAAAAAATATGCTATGATATAAACCAACTAAACTACAAGACAGGTAAACAGAGAAAGTTAGCAGTTAGCTTGGAAATATGCAAGCATTAATACCAATATATGTTTTCTAAGGAATTGCTGTAAAAGCAAACAGAGCTAAAAAGATTAGATTGCACTCAAAGTAGTACTATTGCTGCTTTGTGTGTGTTAGTTGTGTCCTAGCTAGGGGAATCTTTGTGAAATTGGTTGTTTAGTTAAGTGTCAGCTAGTTTAGGCTAATTTTGCCTTTCAAACTTGCCTTGTTTGCTAGCTAAAGATGTCAAAGTACAAGCATTTTAACACAAATCCTTTGTTTTATCATCCATTACAGACTGTACAATGACTGTAAACAGTAATAGGCCTACTGTAAACTCAATGATGCATTTTTAGCATGAAGTCAGATTGTAGTCGTTTAATTATACAAAAACACATGAGAAAACAGTTACTGGTGCACTGCAGTGCAAACAATAATTAAATGAATGTAACACTTGTGTAGGCTGCACCAGTGCAAATTGTTAATTGTTTTTGGTAAAGTAGTCCCTTTCAGTGTGGATAACTGATACAGTATGTTTCTCGAAAGGCAGCTACAGCTTTTCTTTCTTACCAGCTGTTTCAAATTGTCTTGATTACAGTTTCACTGATTGCAATGTGGGAGTGTAACATAGCGTATAGAGCTTTTTCACAGCAGACATTTTTGGATGTCATAGCATGAAAAGTGCTTGTGTAATTGCTCTTGTAAACAACTGCTTTCAATTTAGTTAAGCTAGTTCCAGGCTCATTGGGACTTCTGGTGTTACTAAGACATCCGTAAGCAAATTTATTTCGCCTGTGTTTTTCTTCTGACGAGGCAAAAGGTTCTGTTGTAGAAAAAGGTCTCTAGTGAGTTCTTTAATTTGCCACATAGCAGAAACGGAAACTACAGAGGGTTTTATTTCAGACCACTAATGCCAGTTCATGTATGACATATCCTATATGTCATTATTGTCATATTGCTAATGTAAACTAAAGGCTAGAGATACAAACAGACTGCAGTAAATAGCTTTCATTTTCTAGGAGTGTGATGTAATACCCTGGTTTTACACTTCATATACTATAGTTGTACTAATTCTGTGTACAACACAAGTCAAATGCAAGCGTAGACATTCTCATTAATTCTTCATTAATCCTAGGGGGATTTATAAAGGTTCATCTTCATCTTCTTCAATGTGATTTTTGTTAGTGTCAATTATATTAATTGACGGTTAAGTGTAAAAGAAAGTTCTTGCAAATATTGTGCTCAGTATTCTAACTTTTCCATGTTAGTGTTTGTGTGTGTCTACTAAATAATAGCCTTTTATATACTAAGAATCAAACTAATTTGTTTCACAATATTATTATATATTGTCAGTGTGGTTGTGGGCCTGCAAGAGGCTGACAGATAGTTTTATGAAACTTTAGCTCACAGTAAGTTAAGGTTTATAGAACTATATTGCAAGATGCTAACATGACTGTGGTGTGAGAGATTGCTGTGAAACCGCAGACATCCCAGCCTTGTTGCTATGGGAGCCGTCACCTGGGACAGTTAGGATCTAATTGGGGCTGTGTCTAATATGAAACCTGGCTGTTAGGAGCCACAGCGGTGCGGTGATTAGGCATCTATCTTTTCTTCTGTTCAACAGTTTGCAGCTTTTCCGACGTCATGAATCTATCTTGTGATTCTCTGGGTAGAAATAATGCTGCATGCCAACTGTGTCAGAGCCCGATTACACAGCTCAGTGAGAGCGTTAGAGCGCTAAGGGGCAGCCGTCTAATGATGGGGCTTGTGAAGAGAGCTTCTGGGCTCTTAATAGTTTGTTCTGTAATGTGATCAGATTAAATCAAAAGTGTTGGAATATGCCAAATCTCTTACGACATACGCTCACTCTGGGCTGGATTTCTCTATGGTGCTTTCTGGCCTAAGGAGCTGCTTCAGTGTTGTTGCTATAATCACACAGGAATCATGTTAACAGGGAAATCAATTTAATATTGTTCTCTGCGTGTGTTTGAGTGTGTGTCCTATTCGACTGTTGCTTGAAAACAGAACATCATTTTTTGCTAAAAACAATCACTCATCATCATCCTTAGTGCTTTGTGTGTCTTCACACTGGCAAGAGTGTTTTTCATCTTTGATCTGTTTGAGCTTACAGAGACTGTTTGGCTCTATTGAGTACCAAGTATTTGTCAATGTTCAGGTGCACCAGCTTTTCAGGGGTGAATTTAAATTGAGGTTTTAAATAATTGAGGTGCCAGCCCCTCTAGATTTCTCTGTTGCAGTGAAACACTGCAGAAATGTCACTGATGTCCTGTCAGTTTGTTAGACTAAATTGTTTCTGTTTCTTGCTTTTGGCTATTTATAAATCTAGGACATTATTCACTGATTTTCTTTTTTTGCATTGCGCTCAAATATGCTTGCTGCCTTGACAAAATGATAGGATCAGAATGTCTACAAAAGAGGACAGTCATTGTGACGTCACCCATGTTTTGGAAAGACGTAGGAGCTATAGAGCAAGGTCGCAAAGTTAGCTTACGTAAGCATTAGCTTTCTAGCTACTTTAGGTTGAAAACGGTATTTGTAATTTACGTTAGTTCTTATAGTAATTGAGAAGCTGATTTTAGCAAAAATTATGCTTTAAACTTTACTAAGTGTGAAGAAATTAAAAGCTAACATCTTAGTGTCTTTTGTTACCAGGATGCTGAACAATGATGGGTTAATGACGCCCTACAGCATACTCCGCTTTATTCATCTATTTTAGTCTAATGGAATCATAATTTAGACTTGAAGAGACAAGCGATTAAAACGATAAATTAATTAAAACATGTTTACTGAGGTAATAACTCAGTGAGAAGTAGGGTCATTTTCTAATAGATTTCCACTCAATCTGACTTATTTTACTTAGAAAACGTGTGAAGTGGCCATTAGTAAGAATTGAAGTTTCCCATTGTATGGTGTTCACATGCTGAGCGATAATGATACAACTTACAAGACTCATGCTATGTACGTTTGTGTCAGCTCAACTTCATCCATGGATGTAATTCAGCAAACCCCTGACTCCTGCCCTGCTCTTTTGGTGCATACTGTAGAGGTTTGGTCAGCAGGAATTTAACTGCCAGTTGATTAAACTGCTCTTAGGGAAGCACTTATAAAGAATTCATCTGGTCCAGCACATAACACTTCCTCTGGGCTGGCATCACCCCAAATACAAGAGAATAGATGTTTCCTTTACTTCACCTATACTCACTACCAATCAGCAGAATTAACAGCCACTGCTGCAACCTATGATGTTACACAGTACCTGTTTGAGATGCTAAGGACAAGGATAGAAAGAGAGGATTCATTCAACAGCAACATATCATATGGTGTACGTTTCACTTATAAGGAAAATGATACATGTTTTAAGAGAGTTCTGTTAATCCCTTTTCAAATATATTGCCTTAATCAACTTTGAGAATGTTTTTTTGTCCAATTGTGTCAGAGTTGTATTCATGTATAATTAAGGGCATTAAGAGAAGTATGTTTTGGAATCACACCCCGACCTGTATTATATACAGTATTATTATAACCAGGGGTATCACTATCCAGGAAGCTTGTGTCACAATGTCCAGTGATGGTGACATGGTTAGAAATCTTCCTGTTGTCATTACTGTCAGCACCTCTTCCACTGAGCTTGTCACAGCTCATTAGGAGCACATACTTCTTTTGTTACCATGACATTAAGTGAGCTCTCAGGTAGCACATGGCTCATGCTGATGGCAGTGAACCTGTCTGAGGTGAGGGGACACAGTCAGAGGAGCCCCACACTGTCAGGGATTTACTGGCGCTTTTCTTTACACTGCAGTGAGAATATAAAATCTAGTGAGGCTGAAAAGGCTGGTGGAAGATCTGCTGAGACCTGAGCCAGAAATAGTTTCTTCATGAGTTTACAAACAGTTTTGTGGATGGTTAATTGGAGGAAGAGTGACAGTGGACACATTAGCACACATGCACAATGAATGGATGCAGAAAGTGTGAGGTTAACCAAGTGTGGAGGAAATTCTTAAGAGAAACTTTGTCTTTTGTTATATTTAATAAAGTAATAAAGAAAGTCAATATATAAGTAAAATTGATCCCAAATGTAGGAACAGAGCTACTTCATCCTCAGAGGATAGAGAAGTTCTACAGAACACAGCTTACAGTTACACTATATAGTAGAGAATAGCCAACTGGTCCCACCCTTAAATTCCCTGGCATCATCTAAACATCCCCACCATTAAACCATAACACCCCCTCGTCCTTAACCATTTGCATATCCCCCTTTTACACTTCCTTTTGCCCTCCAGAAATGTAAATCCTTAAAGGTCCCATGACATGCTTTTCTGGTTATTACCCGTCCCCTTGTGTGTTATGTAACTTTTTATGCATGTAAACGGTCTGCAAAGTCACAAACCCTCAAAGTACACCCTGTAGCGAGTAAAACTCTAACACAGAAAAGACCTGTCTATGCTGCCCCAGAACGCCACGTTGGAGATTTCTCTTTTTCAATTTTTTTCTTCCTGGTCATAGTGACGTAACGGTCATAGTGACGTCACGGCTCCGCGGATTGGTCCACACACACACACTCACTCAGCCTTATCTTTTCTCAGCCGCGGCTCCGGATTTCCAGCCTGGCTGTGAGTGTGTGTGTGCTCAGGCTGAGTTTTGCGGTGTCTCGCTGTCTCGCAGACCCCACGCAGCAACCAGGAAACGACACCAGTAATCCAGCTCACACTGTCCGCTCCTCGAGCCTCAAAGGGCGGAGCAGCGAGCCCCGCAACACGGCATCCAGACCCCACGCAGCATTCTCATCTGTTTGTCATTACTGGTGTCATTTTCTGGTTGCTAACAAACGCCATTGTAACACATAATCACTGATGTTCCGCTGTAATTGTGGTGGACTCATCAGAACAGAGTGGGCTCATAGGGAGGGGGGGGCAGGAGCTCCAACAAGGCGTGTAGGACAGAGAGTGAATACACATACTATACAGAGATGCTGTAGATAGATCGTACTTTATTGATCCCAAATTGGGAAATTGTTTTTGTTACAGCAGCATAAAAGGCATTTTACAATAAAACAAAATATACAAGAATAGAAATAAAATAAAATAAAATATAAAATATAAAATATACATGTCGAAATAGAAAATATACATGCAGATATTATATATATATATATATACAAATATATATATTCAAAATATATGGAATTATGGAGTATTAAATATGAAATGTATGAGTAAAATGTACAACGTGGTTTTATTTCTAGAGAAACTATGGAGCAGAGAGTTCTCTTCCAGCCAGAGGTGATTTATTGTACAGAGTTATTGCAGTGGGCAGGAATGTTTTCCAGTATCTGTCCTTGTGACAGGGGAGCTGCAGCAGTCTGTTGGAGAAGAAGCTCCGTTGACTGTCCAGCTGCAGGTGGAGAGGATGGGTGGGGTTATCCATGATGGACAACAGCCTGTTCAGTGTCCTCCTCTCCACCACAGCTTCAAAGGGGTCCAGCTTGATGCCGATGACTGACCCAGCTTTCCTGATCAGTTTATTGATCCTGCTGGTGTCACCGGCTCTGATGCTGCCCCCCCAGCAGACCGCAGCAAAGAAGAGTGCACTAGCCACAACAGACTGATAGAAGATCTCCAGCATCTTACTGCATACGTTGAAGGATCTCAGCTTCCTCAGAAAATAGAGTCGGCTCATCCCCTTCTTGTACACAGCGTCAGTGTTGATCCTCCAGTTCAGCCCATTGTCTAAGTGCACTCCCAGGTACTTGTAGACCTCCACAACTGCCACATCCTCTCCTAGAATGCACAGGGGCAGAGGAGGAGATGTCCTCTTCCTCCTGAAATCAATGACCATCTCTCTGGTCTTGGCCACATTCAAAAGCAGATGATTTCTTCCAGTCCACTCAACAAAATCAATATGAGAAACCAATGTGATTTTGGAACATTGAACAATGTAAATCTATTCTAGTAGACCTCAACAATGGAATTATGATCAGTAGAAATGGCCATGTCATGGGACCTTTAACATATGTCTCTGTTAAACACATACAAGACTAAAAATACAATTTAACAGTGTAAAAGGCAATCGGAGTATAAAGGCCCAGACACACCAGGCCGAAATCGGCCGTCTTCGTTAGTCGGATGACGAAGCGTGCCCTGTCGCCCAAACTCAATTTGATGTGTCCCGAACCGTCGGCCGTGACACGCCTTATTTGGCCTTTCACGGCCGACGCATGGCCGATTCAACATGTTGAATCGGCCGTGCGTCGGACACAAGCAGTCGGACCAAGAAATCACTCTGATTCAGCTAGCGAAGCAGTGCATGAGAAGCGAAACGGTTGCTTGAGAATGTCTTCCACAAGCAACACTCCAATGGCTGATAGCTCCACTACCGCACGAAACATGTTTTCGATGGACGAGAGTGAAAATGGAACGCACACGCTATTTGTTGTTTGTTTAGATCACGCAGTCTGTTCTTGTTCTCTGTCTTCCGGTTGTTGCCTCTTTTGAATGACGAATACACACTACCGCCGCCAGCTGGTAAGGAGAGTTATTGCCACTCACGCATGCGCAGTTCGTACGTGCTCGGCTGAAGTCTTTGCGGTGTGTTCCAGTGCGACACATGGCCAAGACGCAGGAGAACACGGCGACGCAACAGTCGGCGTCGGCGAGTTCTCTGGTGACTGCTTGGTGTGTCAGGGCCTTAAGACTATATGTTTTAAATGATTATATGATAATTTGACACGACACCAAGTACCAAGTTTGTAATACACTATTCATTTGTACATCTGTTTTATAATCTTTATATCCAAACATGTAGGCCTATATATTATTACATTATTACATATTATTATATATTATACAATATTTATTATAATGGGCAAGTCATCATTAAAACCCCTTTTAAACTCTACAATATATAATTTACGTTCTCTATTATCCTATTCTTTGTTCTATGTATATATATTTTTGATGTCCTTTCTTCACTTTTTTTTTTTAAATATATTGTGTACTGCACTGATTTGTAGTCAATAGGCGCTTTCAAACCGGAGTACTTTTCCCAGGAATAATTCCGATAGTTTCTGGGATTTTGCGTTCACACCAAAAAGATCTGGAACTAGAACTTTTTTTTGCAAACCTTTTCACCCCTTTTTAGTCCCTGCTAGAGAGCAGGGACTTTCCTGGGGAGAAAATGTCTGATTGGCTGGGCAAATTGCAAACCACGCCCCGTAACACTCACAAATGGAGAGAGACTAACTTATGGCCGGGGACTTCGGGTGGCAGTATACGCCGTGAAGTTGTTTGCGGCCTGCCAGTAAACCCAAAGCAGAAGAAGAAGTGACGTCAGCAGCTCCCTCAGGGATTTATTCCGGTGTGAACGCGATTTACTAGATAGTTCCAGGATTTAAAAGTTCCGGGGAAAAGTTCCGGGAACTATTCCTGGGAAAAGTACTTGGTGTGAAAGCGTACTTTTCCAAGGAATAGTTCCCCGGAAATCTTTAGTTCCGGAACTATATCTAGTAGATCGCGTTCACACCGGAATAAATCCCTGAGGGAGGATTACGCAAATGATGATCCCGCTGACGTCACTTCTTCTTCTTCTGCTTTGGGTTTACTGGCAGGATTCAATGACGTAGCATCCTTGAAATAGTGTCTCTGAAGGATCCTTCCTCGACATTGAGAAACGCCCTTGCTGTGAAAGCGCCTAATGGTTCACTTGGCATGGAAGCTATTGAAAACATTAAGACTTTTTGAATAGGAAAAATGCTCAATTTCAATAAATTATTCATATAACTAGAGAAAAAAAACACTAAAATCCCCAAAAGAATGTATGACAATAAATGAAAAATAACGTAGGCTACACACAGTCCTGGATGTGCATTCGGCTGCAGGTAGAAGCTGCAGCTCTGTGGACGGTGTGTATCGGCTTGTTTTGATATAAATTAGGTTGAACCTCCCTGTCTTCCTTATGGTTGTTAAGAGACTTTTTTGTGTTTTGATATCGTTTGTGTTGGAGTTATTGAGCCGTCAAATTCGAATCCTAATTTAAACAAACTAGGAAAGCCCTCACTCCACCGTCTTTTACACTGCGTTATCGGCTCTGAGAGGACATTTAAACCTGACTCTACGGCCTCTCGCTTGTATTTTCCGTCGATATCTTAAAACCTTTATCTATCAAGTGTCTTTTCGGATCGCTCAAAATATCCTTTGACCGTTTTATAATTGAAAAACCAAAAAAGCATTGCAGTCGTTTTTCTAGTTTACGAAACAAGATGTTTTGTTATTATTTAGTAGGCCTATTTGTCTTTGTTTACAATTTTACAGTATTTATTTTTAATTTTCACCGCGGGTTACCAAGACAACCGCTCTAGTAACGGCGCTAATATAATTCGGCGCTAATCTGCTATTAACTTAATCTAGCTCATTGTTTACAATTTGTTAGCTAGTAGCTATAGGTTAGTGTGCAGCAGGTGCTCGTGGTGGACCAGGACAGAAAATAAAAGGTATGGACCTGGTTTATTTTTAGGTTAAATCGGTACAAAGAAATTGTGAAAAACAGATACGTTTGTTAACCCCTGTTTTGTATATTGGTTGAATTAGTGGTGGAAGAAGTATTCAGATATTGTGGTATCTTGGCATGGAAGTAGAAGTAGAAATACCAAAGTGTAGGAATAATCTGTTACAAGAAAAGGTCCTTTATTCACAATGTAAAAGTTCAAAAGTATTGGCTTCAAATGAAACTTAAAGTAACAAAAGTAAAAATACTCATTATGTTGATAGGCTCATTCCAAAATAATATTGTATAGGCTATGTTTGGATTATATTATTGATTTATTATTGTAACTAAACTAATTTGAATAATTGTATTTACTGCTGGGTAGCTTGAAGTGAATGTATTCCAGGTGTAACTATTTACTTAAGTAGAGTAACCCAAAAGTCAAAATGACATGATGTACCTTCTGAAGTGTAATGGTGTACAAGTGTAAAGTGTTATAGAATGCAAAAACTAAACTCCAGTGCAAGTACGTCAACATTTATTATATTAACTTTGATACCTTCCTTGACTGCATGCTAAATGATCTCCTACTTAATTTTCCCTTTGTGAAAGACCCCTCTATCTTCCTCACTGTTCCTCTTCTCTCAGTGTGTATGAGCAGATGAGCAGATGATGTGTGTGCGGCAGCAGAGCCTGATGCAGCAGGTCCTCCTCGCTCTCAGGGAGGAGGGCGATGGAGACGCTCTGAGCTGCAGCACTGACTGTGAAGAGAAGGCTGACTCGCTTACGTACAAAAGCCAGGAAGTCAACACATCAAATGAACGCCGAAGACAAAAAGGTATTTCTTTTGACATTACGTTTTAAATCACATTTAAGCAAGGTAACCAAAACAGCTTTCTTCCATCTTAGAAATATGCTGCATAAATGCTAAAAGGTTGAAGTGACCTGAATTGAATTTCTTTTTTCTGTGTAACTTGTGTGTGCCATATTGTTAGGGCACATTTTGCTGCACAATGTGTAAGAAAAAGTGCCATAAAGCTTTATTATTATTATTATATATATATTTTTGTATTATTATTTTATTTTACTTTTAAAAATTAGATTATTATTTATGAAAAATTATGTTATTATTTATTAAAAATATATATATTTTATTGTTTGTATTATTATTATTATTATTATTATTATTATTATTATTATTATTATTATTATTATTATTATTATTATTATTATTATTATTATTATTATTATTATTATTATTATAACCTGTGTAGTAAGACTGTATTGAATTGAAATCTCACTATTATAAATGTTTCTCTTCAGGTAACAAAGAGCCCCAGAAGCAGAAGACCAATCAGAATGCAAACCGCCACGTCCTGAAGCTGCCCCCGATCAAGACCCCCCAGGTTTTGCAACCGAGGATCCAGTCTGCCAGCTCCACCTGCATCAGGGACCTGAAGAGCCGCGTGGTGGATCTGCAGCAGCAGCTGAGCGCAGCCCGGACGGAGACCCGGCTGCTGAAGAACCTCCAGCACCGCCACACGGTGGCGCTGCAGCACTTCCAGGAGTCTGAGAGCAGCGTCTCACAGGTGGGGTGGTTTTTGTCCATTTTGGCATTGAATTTGTTTTAACCAACTTCTTATTCAACTTTCCAGTCATCTCAACAAGATGTCACAAACATATAGATACATATTATATTAGTGTAAATACAGAAAGAGGACATTAGCGACACCCATCCTGCCTTTCCACACAAATTGTAGATGTTGTTTGTTTTCAATTAGGAGTTCATCTCTTCACACAAATGTAATATAACAATTAACTATCCAAACTTGTTTTGATATATCCTTTCATCTTTGTACACTTAATTAGGTGGAAGTAGATCTTATAATGAAGTAAAAGTAATAATATGTCTGTGTGAAAATACTCTGTTACAAGTAAAACTCCTGCATTCAAAATGTTACAAATCTCCAATTAATGTAATGTTCTCTAGGGTTTCTCCTTTAGCATTGTTTACAGAGGGGATACAAGGTTCTGATATAAGTTGGAAGATATCCATTTTTTATAAATATAGTATGTGAGTGTTCCCATCTTGTGATGAGGATTTATTTTTGGAAGCAGTTTAGCCAGCGAAAACATGGTATCTGAATTTAGAGAAGAATCAGCAACATGGTATCTGACTCCAAATACATTTTTTATTTAAGCAGGAGAAGTCTCATTGAGATCTCTTATGCAAGAGAGTCCTGGCCTAGATACAAGAACCTTAACAAGAACAAAGAACATATCATGATCAGAAACGCCGTCATACATCATCTACAGACAGTCATCTGCGGTCACTAAGAAGAGCTTTAAATCTGTTTAGAGGGACCAGCTCCCTGAGTTTCAGCTCATATTGCAGCTGGTTCAGAGCAAATGAAACAACGTAACTGAATGCCCTTTTTCCAGCTCAGTGTGGACTTCATGGACAGTTAGTAAAAACAAGTTCTCTGAGTGAAGCCGATGAATACCTGTACATTTCAGCAGCAAGAATAGCCTTTTCAATAACATGATATCAGATACTATGTCAATCACTTGTCTCCAGAACTGTTTAACTGCAGTATATATTACCAAAAAAAGCATGTCTACCTATGTACCAATAGTCTTTTGATTACACAGAAGGATTATTGATCAGATTTGAATAATGAAAAACATGTGACCAAAACGTCTTATCCGTCCTCTTGGTGACATCCCCAGATCCTCGCCAAGCACAGCAACGAGGCCCGGGTCCTGCAGCAGCTGCTCAGTGAGACCCGCGCCTGCCGGGACAGTCTGGCCCGGCAGCTCCAGAGCACAGAGATCAATCTGCACAGCACCAAGGCCAGTCTGCAGCACCTGCAGCTGCTCAGCCAGGACCACAGCCTGCTGCCCAGAGAGGAGCTCTCCCTCAGGCTGGACAGGGCCTCTGCTCAGCTGGAGAGCAAGGACCGGAGGATACAGGTACAGGGAGGGGCAGGGGGGGGGGAGACAGATCAGAGGTCAGAACTGTAGTCCAGGGTCACTGCAGAGCTCCTGACAGCACCCATGATCACAGCCTGCAACTGTGGATTATATTTGAATACCTGGGAATGTAAATGGGAATCTATATGATTATGCTGCAGCTGAAAGACACTCTTCTCGCAAGTTAAAACCGTTTTTAATCCTTGTACTTTTTATTTATTGACTTTGTAAGTACAACAAAGAGACAGGCCTTATCATATGACTTGAATCCAAGGGCAAAAGGAAAATAATGTATGCACATCATGCAAGTAAATCTTGTTCATTTTAACACTGTGAGTCCTGCACCATTCCCTGTATATTTTTGCACATGTTCTGTTTACCTCCACCTTGCTTTAAATCTGCAAAGCTCTCAACATTCATTCTAGTGTTTGTGTAAATATTTCAATTTTGTATTTGTTTTAATAGTTTTTATAATTTCTTTGCTCTTTCCTACAACATATTCCTCTCTTACTGTGTTAATGTATGCATTACTATACACCAGAACAAATCTCTCGTATGTTTAAACCTACTTTGCAATAAACCTGATTCTGAAATAAATAAATAATCGAAAATCCTTTAATACAATGGATATGTCATTGTGACATTTAAAAAAACAAACAATCATTCTTGTCATGCCCTGGTTTTTGTTGTTTTCAGGACTTGGAGAAGAATCTTGAGTTGAGCCAGGCCTCATTTAACCGCCAAATATTCGCCGAACAAAGAAAGATCAACGAGGCGAAGAAGATTACCGGCTACCTGCAAGAGCAAATATATCACCTGAACAAAGAGATCCAGGTAAGTGAAAAACAGCTGTTTCAGCATTTTAGACGTGTCCTACTGACTCCTACAGATATCATTTGTTCCCTCTTTGCAGGATAGAGAGAGAGAACTGGAAACACACAATATTTACTCCCAAAGATTCCTGAAAGGATCTCCCAAAAAAGGTAAACAAACCCAACAAGCTGCTCTGACTGGTATTTACTTTGTTTAAGTTTAGACGTTTTTTCTCTAAGAGTCTTTTCTTTTTTTACAGGCAGCAAAAGTAAGATGGTTCAGACGGATCCATTAGTCTGTCTCTCCTCTGAAGCTGGGACTCTTTTGGAGTTAAAATATACAGAGAAGCAGGTACGACTCAAATCATGTATTTTCTAGATTTCTTTCACAACATTTGACTCGTTTTCCTACATCTGCTAGAGTTCACTTGTTCATATAAGCTGAATGTAGTTGTGACCTTTCAAGATGTTTCCTTACTTCTGAGACTTATGTAATTTATTAATTTATTTTACTATCTTACATATAGATTCTGTATACCTTTCAGGGTCCTTACAATCCAGTAGAAGAGTCTTTGGCTGTAGACAATCCAGAGACAGGTCTTTCTGCAGATCTCACGTTAGAAGAGAATCACCCAGAGGAAACTGAGACCTGTGCACGTGAGCAATTCATTAATGTTGAATATGCATCACAACAAACAATGCAAACATGCACATTTGTCCATCCATCTTCTACCGCTTATCTGGGGTCGGGTCACTGAGGAAGTAGTTCCAGCAGAGGGCGCCAAACTTCCCTTTCCCTGCCCACATCAACCAGCTCTGGTTCCAGGGTGCTCCCAGGCCAGCGTGGAGATAAAATCCCTCCACCTGGTCCTGGGTCTGCCCCTCTGTCTCCTCCCTGTGCCTGGAAGATCTCTCTAGGGAGGCTGCCATGTGGCCTCCTTGCTAAATACCCAAACCACCTCAACTGGCTCCTTTCTACGAGAAGGAGCAGCCGCTCTGCTCCGAGCCCTCCCAAGTCTCACCTTCCCCCTAAGGGAAGATGCCAGCCGGCCTCCGTAGTTAACCCATTACAGCCGCTTTGATCCGCAGTCTTTTAGTCATGACCATAGGTCAGGGTAGGAACAAATATGGACCGGTAGATTGAGAGCTTTGCTTTTTGGGTCAGCTGTTGGCGGTAAAGCTCCAACTGCTGTGATTCTCCGGCCCATCTCAAGCTCCATTGTCCCCTCACTCAAGACACAAGACCCTGAGATACTTGAATTCCTTCACCTGGGGCAAGGACTCATTCCATACTCGGCGTGGACAGTCCATCGGTTTCCTGTTGATAACCCTTGACAGAAAAACATAGTGGTACTACCTCACAATCCACACTAAACAGCATTTTGTTATCTTTCATTATAGAACAGTATTTTACCATTTAGTTTTTCTACTTTTACTTAAGTAAAAAAGTACTTCTTCCATCTCTGGCCTAACAACACTTTTTTGTTATCTTTGATCATAGAAAATCAAAAGTCAAAGTGTTCTGCAAATCTCACATTAGAGGAGAATCAACCAGAAGAATGTGCAGGTGAGTACTTAATGTTAGCCAATAACCAATCAGAGCAGACTGAGCTCTGGTTTCAGACAGAGGGTCACAAGACGTGCTGCAGCACTCATTGAATCATGGGGGTTTTATTCAAATGTGCAGCATCTGTGGTCTTTTTCTAAATCTATTGAAAACTTGTGGTAAAAGTTGGGATTAGGTAGTCTTAAAAAGTGTTACAGATTTAGGTGATTTATATATTGTATGCTTTATAAATAGACAAACCCGGAGGACAACAGTTGCTTAGTTGACAAGACAACAGAAAGGTCATTCAGTATTAATGAAAAATAAGTATAAAACCTATTTGTTTTTCAGATGAGCAGAGTAGTGCAGATGAGGGCACAGCATATCTATCGGAGGGAGACTATGCTGAAGAAGAGGAGGCACCCGAGGCATCAGCAGAGGAGCGGAAAACAGAGGAGACATCCTACATTCTGGGAAAATCTCTGAATGCTAATGGAGCTGACAGACAAGGATACACGCTCCCCAAAATCAGAAGCAGCTACACTTTTAAACAAACTATTGAGAACATGCACATTGGAAAACCGGCCTACAGCATCTTCAGTGCCTATCAGAGCCCGATGAAGATGGAGACCCTCAGCGGCGAGGGGGGTCCTGAACTCTGTCTACCTGCTGGGAAATCCAGGAAGGGTGTAGCAGGCAGCCCTCAGGGCAAGTAGAGGGCAGTTTGAAACACAAAGATCAGGCTCATCAGGAGCACTTCAGTCCAGGCTAAGCCACTGATTCTGGGATTCAAAAATGTAAGAACCACTTAAACTGTACAGCTGAGAGTTTCCTCTATTGTGACAGCAGATTTTCTTAGACTGAAGTATTTCTCTGAATAAACGATTGTTTGACTCAAACAGTTCATTGTGATAGATCTGACCTGATTTGTTTTGCTTTGGTGTCTCTAATTACTAGAAATAACAGTACAATGAATACAAGCTTTTCGTGTTTTATTTTTCTTAAAAAGGCATTAACAAATAATTGTTTTTAAATAATACAGTCCAAACATCATCCAAAGGTCAAAATTCACCAAAATAATATTGAGCAATATAAACCAGCCAGAACTTAAATGCACTGCATTTTTAAATATTGACCTGGAGCAGCGGACAAAATAAAAGACGAAATACAGAGGCTCTCTTCATCTACATCTTGAACGATATGTTAGGATGCCAGTGTTGTCACTCAGCTGACGGCGTGCAGACCCAGAGACACCACCTTGTTGCAGACCACCAGCCAGCAGGTGATCCCCACTCCACCTGGGGAGAGAGAAGAGCTCTGTCAGTCTATGGATAGAGTGTTGGAATAAAGAAATGCATGATAAACTTGAAAGAGAAATCAGAGTTGTTTTTTTAACTTTATTAATACATGATTTCTGAATGATTGGCGTGATGTCTGACAGTTTTCCGACTCTTAACTTAAGCGTGGACAAAGCCTCTGTGATTGCCCTCTGTATAATGTGCGCTACACATGGCATATTATCTCTGCTGCTATCAGCCCTATCTGTTCCTACAGTGGAGACCCTGTCCACTATCTCACACTCCTGTGACACTTCAACAAACTGGAGCATGGTTCAGCTAAAAGCCTTTCCTCTGTTTTCACCACACCTAAAAAACTAATGCATTGTGGGAGATATGGTTGAGATAGTGATGGTTATACTGATGTCCAGTGGTCTCCAGTCAGTGTAACACACGTCTCTTAAGCGTATTCCTTCCCTTTTTTGTCTTGTCACTGCCATGTGATTCATGATCAAAATCAGCGCTTGTAGTACGGGAGCAACTTTGGGTCAAACTTGCTATTGTGATTAATTTGAGTCTTTTGTTTTGCTATTAACACGTTAAGGTCTCCAGATGTATTGCGAGCGCTAACACATACACATCAGCACTGTGTTTGCATAAATGCATAAAGAATCCATCTAAAAAAGAAGAATGGGGTTTTCTACCTATGGATTTCCACATTTCTGGTGTATTATTTGTGTATTTTATATAGTTAGAAATGTGTTGACCTGCATGTTTCTTTTTGAATAAATGATCTTTTATTAAATGAAGTATGGAAAATAGATTGATTACCTGCCACTCCTGTTGGAAAGGCCACCAGGCGCTCCACAGGGGCGATCCATTTACTGGGGACCACCGTCACTGGGTCAGCGTAATACTTCCATATCAAGGAGACCATCAGGGCAGCCTGGGAAATAAAGACGGTAAATACGTAATGCATTTTCTATTTGATTTATGATAGAAAAAAGATACCTTATATATCAAAGATTGACAGATTCGTCACAGTAAATACAAATGTTTTGGATTAAATATTTAATGTCCTACCTGCAGTATGTAGAAGACGATGTTCACAACCCATTTCATTTTGGCTTGCCCTGCCGTTCTTGATTTCACTGCAAAATAATAAAATACACAACTGTTAGACTCAATGTAATTTAATTTCAAAACATATCTAATACCATCATTTATATTTCATTTTTTTAAGGGTGGTTTTACAATAATCTGTCCAGAGACTACAGATAAAAAATTGCCTCTTGACAAACTGACGCATTTACGAAAATGTTGATGCATGTGCACAGTCTTTCTCTGTTCAATACATTAACACAATAAATTAAAAGTTTTTTGTGGCGGTCAGCTTAATATAGGTATACTACATGAGTAAATATGTTGTTCAAACAGTGGAGAGTTCTCTTGATGAACACAACTGCAATGACAATGAGCCAGCTGTTTTGTTTCTACAGTAAAACTAGTATAAATTAGTGATTGTTCTGGTATATATATATATATATATATATATATTAGTATCTCGTATTGGCTACAGCTTGATCAAGGGATATTTAAAACTGTCAGTCGAGAGAAAGAACATATAGAAACAGATACAATTTAAAACTGCCTTAGCGCTTCTGTACATGCGTTTCATACTGACGCTCTGATAAGGCACTTCCTGTCTGTGCACAAGATAATCCTGAGGGAGAACATCAGCCGGCTGCAGCTGTCGCCACTGATCTCTTCTGTCACTTATTTAAAACCTTTAACAATTTCCTGTGGCTGTGTGGATCTGATTTCCTAGGCTTAATAGGGAAGTCAAAATACGGTTTACTAATAAAATATGTGGATCATCAATATAAAAAGGGGGTATAAATTCAAATTTGTTCAAGGGTATTTTGCATTTTAGTCGCCCATTTCACGTAAATGTTTTTTAAAAACTGTATCTGTTGTCTTCGGGTCAAATCTGACCGATTTACTACTTTCATCAATCATAACTTTTTTGTTTGACATTCGATTGCATTAAGGCTTTATGATATCCTTCACAGCAGACATTTGAACATATACAATTGCTGATCACCACTTTCATTGAATTTTGGATGATTTAGTCAACTTTGTAACACCCATGGTGTTCTCGGACATAAAGAAAAGGAATTAGTAACCATCCGGCACACACACACACACACACACACACACACACACACACACACACACACACACACACACACACACACACACACACACACACACACACACACACACACACACACACACACACACACACACACACACACACACACACACACACACACCACACACACACACACACACACACACACACACACACACACACACACCACACACACACACACCACACACACACACACACACACACACACACACACACACACACACACACACACACACACACACACACACACACACACACACACACACACACACACACACTCCCCCCCATGTGAATCACACCTGGCGCACACACACACACAGAACAATTTGACGCATTTCCCGCTCTTATGAGCCACATGGATCACACCTGGCACACGCAATACATGTTCAGTGTCTGTTCTTTGTATATTTACTGCAGTTTTTCATGAATACCAGTAGTCTGATACAATATGTACAGTTTGAAAGGGTGTTAAATTAAATTTGGTGATGATTAATGGTTTTTGTGTTAATGTAATAGCAGTTAAAACAGGACCGGTTAAATTTGACCGCGAACACCAAAGTAAGGGCGGGAAACGAAGACAATTTAAGATAATTTTCTAAAAACATCCAAAAATATTTTAAATAAATTACAAATTTGTAAAACTGTTGGGGATTTTTAATTTTGTTACATTTAAATGAGTTTTGAAATAGTACCATGTAATTGAAACGCCTATAAATATGGGAGAAATGTGAGAAAACGACATTTGTGAATGAAACATTTTGCCAATATAATCAGATTTCCCAATTCTTTTTTCTCTGTTTGGTTATTATAAGTTGGCCAATACTGGAAAAAAGGTTTGAATTATGCTTTAAGAAAAGAAGAGATGTTCTAGTGTTTCAATATCTGCATGACAAAAGGTACATGTTTTTAAATCTCAATTAAATCCTTGGTGATTAATAATTAAAAGGGTACATCTCTAAAATGTATCCCTTTAAAATTGACTTCTTTGACTTTTGGAGAGGAGAGGTAACTGGTTCTAATCTTTATTGAATAGTTATTTGTATATTTCCCCTTTAGTGGCGGGGTTTCCACATTTTTTTAAGTCAGCGTTTTTAGTGTGTTTTTAATTGTAAAAAAAAATGAATACTACTTTATTATTTTTTATTTTGGGGCTCATGTCAAACTGTGTATTCTATGCATGTCACTCATAACTATGTATTTTCTCTCACCATGTGTTTTCAGCTTGTCGGTCATCTTGTTGATTTTGCGCTCCAATCTGGCATATCTGGCAAACTCATCCATCATGCTTATTGAGAGCTGCTCCTTCTTCATCTCCTGCACCTCAGACCTCATCTCACTCTCCTGCTCGGCATCTTTTTGCACCAGTCTCGAGAACTTTAAAGAAAGACACAGAAAGACAAGACTTTAAATGTAATGTTTATATGTGTAGGGGCTCAATACCACAGTTAATGCATGTCCCTGCTTGCATTGGTGTAAAGCAGGGCTATTCAATTGGCGGCCCGCGGGCCAAATCCGGCCCAGGGGTGATATTTACAGGCCCTTTGAGTATAATGTTAAAAAGTAATCAATTTTTTTTTTTTAAGATTTTTTTTTTTTTTTTTTTTTTTGTGCCATAGTGCCTTTATTCCAGAGAGGGTGTTACATTGAGAGATAGAGGGGTAGACAATGCCTGAAAACTTCGACGGGCTCGGGTTTCGAACCCACCTACTATACTGTAGTGACAACTCCTGTCATTGATTGCATCTCTGCGTGAATGATTAGATCATTTCACCTAAATGAAATCAAATTAAACATGTAGGCCTACTGAGTTCTGAACTTGCCATTTAGATCTATAAAGGCCTTGGGGCTATGTTGTTTGATTGAATTAAACACAATATATGCACTCCACTATGCTGTTGTAGTATTTACTGTATCTGAAGCTCTTAAATATGATTGCTCATATTTCAAGCCATCTTTTTCCCGGCCCCTTGCTTTGGATCATTTTCATCAACCGGCCCCCATTCCAAACTAATTGAATAGCCCTGGTGTAAAGCAACAAAGTAGATTTACTCAAGAACTGTTTCTTAAGTAGAATTTTGAGGTACTTGTACTTTACTTGAGTATTTCAATTTCAGGCTACTTTGTACTTCTACTCCACTACAATGCAGAGGTAAATATTGTACTTTAACTGCACTACATTTCTGTAGTAGTACCTTTAGTTACTTTGCAGATATGAATTAATGATACAAAAAATATGATCAACACTTAAATAAAACTTAAAAACCTGGAGTAAAATGCTCAAGCTACCCTGCAGCAGACAAAGTAATTAAAACTAGCTGCACATTTACCAGCTTGATAACACATTAATGTATCAACATTTATAA